CATTAGATTTATAATAATTTTATAGATAAAACTAAAAATTTCATTTTAGAGCTTATTGGCTCTACTTTCATAGACAAAACTTAATATTTAATATTTAATATAATTCCAAAATTATTTATTAAAACTCAACATTGTTTAATTCAATTACACCATAATTTAGAGTACTTTATTTAAATATAATATCTTATTTATTTAAAAATTTTATAAAAAATTAAAAACTCATGTTCATTGGTCCTGCAAAACACAAAAGAACACCCATTATATAAAACTTAAAAAACCTAAATTATTACAATATTAAATGCATCTTAAACCAGAAGCAAATAGAACTTAGGAGACTAAAATTGAAGACGCCAACAGACTACAAGGGCTGGATTAATTACCAAAGGATTTTTCTAAACTCTATCTTTAAGGAATAGGTTTTAAGAATATAATAATTATATTTTTTACTTATTAAATTATATAAAAAATTTAATATTAAATTTATAATTAATGCTATATGTATTAATTTAATTGATTGTAGTAAAATCAAATTTTATTTTTTATATAATTTAATAATTAAAAAATATATATGTTCAAATTTAATAGTTTTAACTTAACTTTTTAATTTTTTAAATATAAATTTTAGATAAAAATTTAACAAATTATATAAATAATAATTAAAATTTTTTTAATCAAATAAAAATACTCATAAAGATTACATATAAAGAAAAAATTTTAATTATTATTTATATGGTAATAATGTGCTTTTTCCATGTTAAGAAATTTTTTTTTTAATATTATGAAATAACCCTTTTTGATTTTTAATTATATCTTATTTAAGTATCATATGACTTAAATTTAAAACTTTTTATTTTTATAAAAAATTATCATTAAATTATTTAAGTTATTTGACAAAAAATTAATTTTTATTTAATTAATTATTTAATTAAAATAACACACATAACATTTGATTATTTGTAATGAAATTAAGATTAAAATATTTGTATTTTTAATATAATTTAATATTTAAAAAGTGTATTAATTGTACTTTTAGAATATAAATTACAAAAAAAATATATTATTTTTATTTTTTAAAATGACGATATAATTATGCCTAAACCTGAACCCAGACTAATACCAGCCCACTATATATGTGGCCGGTTAGCAGTCAATCTTGCAAGATAAAATAAAGCCATCAGTCAAGAACCAACCCAAATCGGCCCGTTTGGAAACCTATATATAACCCCAATAGAGACACTTCACACTAACAATTAAAATGTAGTTCAAAAGAGAGCCCAAAAACAGTATGTTGGAATCAATAAAGAGGCCCACACCATAAATCACAAACAGAGCAGAGCGGGCCATGGTAAATAAGGGCCCGTGAGATCACGGTAGACAATAGCCCAATAACCCTAAGGGCATGTTTGGTTGTTAGTTATCTTGAAAAGTATTTCAGGGAAAGCCGCACCAAAAAAATATGTCAACTTGGTCCTAAACATTGATTTAGGATAAAATTTATTAGAAAGGACATATAATCGATTTTAAGGAACATAATTGATTATGCAGCTGCTAAATACTTTCCAACTCAAAAATTCCAAAAGATTTTCTTCTGAGGTATATAAGCAATTAAAAATCCAACATAATTGATTATATTTAAAAAGTCTCACACCAACCAATTATTCTTTGTATATAATTGATTATATCACCACCTCAATTTTTGTGCAAAAATTTGATTTTCCTAGACCCAGCTGACTTTTTGGAGGCTCACAGCGTCCCTATAAATACTTTTTACGATAAAAACTAACCAAACAAATTTTAAGGGTTAAATCCATTAGATCTAGAGTTTAAGTATTGTAGGATTAAAAAAAATTAAATTTTTTAGAGTTAGAGAGTGAGTCACATTAAAATTATTTAAATAAAATTAATTTTAAAGTGTATGAAAATTAACTTAAAAACATTGTGATTGTGCAAATCATAAAAAAAAATCGAATTAAAACCCTTAAAAATACTATTTCTTTCTGCCTTTGCTACGCCTACATATATCTAAAAAGATGTTACAATCAAATTTTATAATTTTTTCCGAGAATGTTACAGTTAAATTAATTATATAGATCTACATTTTGCCATCTCATGCATGGAGGAGTTCTACCTTAGTTGCAGAGAGGAAGGTGTTAACTTTGCGAACATAAAGAGAATAATCTTCCTCGATGTGTGTACGCGTGGGGGAGTGCGTTGCTTTCTCCTCATGCTTCTTGTTCTTCCCCTTTAGGCTTTATTAGCTTTTTTCTTTTCCTTTGTCTCTACATATGTGTGTATGAAAGTGCATGCATGGAGAGGAGCTTTCCTAACAACTTGCAATGTCCAGTTTAACTTTTTTTTTTTTTTTTTGGGTTTTTGTAACTTTTTCCAGCACTTTTTTTGTCATAAATGTATGTAAAAAATATAAAAATTAATTTTAATTTTAGTATAAGTACTAAGTAGATAAATTTAATTA